GGAGTTAATCGACGAGAGTAGATAGCCGCGTTGAAGCTCATAAATCCTCCGGACCATTTGACGGGAAAGTGATAAATTTGATTTTCCATTTTTCATCCGAGTCTCCGGAGACATTTAATGAATTCGACCGGGCGCTCGACGGTCGATTGGTCAATCAGAAGCCGCCGGCCCCTCGACCGGTCGCAACGGCTGCGAAACACTCGGGAGATCGGTCGACAAGCGTTATAATTGCGTGGATATAAATGCCGTTTCGCATTAAATTTTACTCCCGGGGAACCGGATGAATTTCCCAGAGGGTTGTCAACCGACGCAGTCCCGGCAGGATTTTCCTCTGTCCGGTCGCGTAATTGAATTACCCGATCCATAAACAATTCATCGGCACGGTAATGACAACAGGCTTGATCAGCCATAATTTGTTATCGATTCCAGCCTAGGTTTCGATACGTTCGAACCACTCGGGGGCCTCGTTTCGGTCGAAGAACGTAAACGAGGAATATCGATATTCCGAACGAAAAGAAATACACGGTGACGGAGCGGTGGAAGAGCGCCGCCGGCAGTAAAGAAATAGATCGGATTATAAGATAACACTCTATATACGTATTTATGTTATTGTATCGCGGTGTTCCAGTATAAGAAGCAATTCAACCCCCCGGAGTCCAATAAAAGGAGCTCTTAACATAAATATCGAGTTTCAAGACGCTTCCAAGTTACAGTAATTTTTACACTCGACCAGCTTATATCTGCTTGCATCCCCATTATCTCCGCGGAATGACCATATTTCGTTTCGGTAACAAGGCCATCCTATTATCGATCGTTTCTCGCGTTCGCGGCCTCTTTGAAGGCGCTGTAAACAATTTCATGGCCTGCCAACAGCGTATCGCGTCCAACGAATTCGCCGCGACTCGTAAATCGGGGGCGAGCGAGTAACGCGTTCGCGGGAACTTCGAATTCGAAAGTGGAGCTAACGAAGAAACACTCCGCGCCATTAAAACGGAATCTATTTACACGGTGACCAATAAAATCGCGCAACCGTAATTTCCTGCACTCCGGACCTCAATGAAGTCTGAAGTATTTGCCAACTTAGTAAAAGCACATCTGTTCCGAACGATTTCGCGATACGTACGAACGAATTGTATTCTTTGCAGTCACAGTCGAACATTGAGAAGTGGATCAACGAAGGAGACAAGGACCCGAGGTTATCAATTTAATCAGTACCTGTACGCGTCTTCGGAGACGTTTATTTTGCCGGGCTCGCCAGTGGTCTCCGTTCGGCTGGTCAGGTTCACCGTGTTCCCAAACAGGCAGTAACGAGGCATGCGGTGGCCAATTACTCCAGTTACGACCTCGCCGCTGTGGATCCCGATGGTGATTTTCTGCGGAACAGTTCGCCGTTCGCTTATCAGCCGGATCTTCTCGTGAAACGACACTGTGCAGTCGCGTCACGTCGCGCGCGTTAAACGTCCACCGGCGGAAGCTTTCGCGTAGGAACAGGAAGAGCGCGTTCAGGAAGACGAACAACACTCTTTTTACGGATTAATCGAATGCGCGAGATCGCCGGGAACGCGATTGAAAACTCGGGTCGCGGACGGCGATCGTTTATTTGATTCTTGTTTCGTTTCATTCGTCGAACGGACCGCTTCGAGTCGAAGCGAAAAATTCCACGGTCGGACGAGTTTCGCACTCGTTACATCTTCGTTAAGCCGAAGACGGTGCTTTAATAGATTTCCTATATCTCGCAAGCGACCGGCCAAGAAAATCCGTTCCGCGAAGTTCCCGGGGATAATGGACGATTCATGTAAATTGTAACAGTGATAAATCGAGGGTGGGATTCCTGTTGTTCGGTTCGTTGTAACGAATGACGTCCGAAAAAATATAGGGATCGCGCGAAACGAAGTAACAATATATCGTGACTTACCACCGGCTCGCCATCGATCTTCACTTCGTCCGCGGCGAGATCCATCATATCCAGTGCCAACCGGGCGATGCATCGTGCATGGCAACGACATGGTTCCGGTAATCCGCTCACGGCCATGTATTTGTCACCAACAGTTTCGACCTAGTCCGACCAAAGTGGATCAGTGCTAACAAGCCTTCCCCTAAATTCGAATATATATCCGTTGTGCGCGAATGATAATTCAGCCGGCTAATACAGTCGCCCGATTGAGATTTACAATGGCGACGTCCCGCGACACAGCGGTGCGCTATCTCCTTTCGAACAGATATTAGCGGAGACTGAATCAGCGCAACTCCGTAATGTTAAATGACCCGGCGCGTCAACTTCGCTTAATCTACATTCATTACCCTGCACCGACTGAAGTAGTTACAGGATTCTACAATTCGATAGCGAACTCGAGCGAACGTCGCGTCTACGGAAACTTCGTGTCGTCACCGTCTCGAGACGAAGTCGATGCTGCCGATCGATTGCCAATCGAAATGAAAGCTTGTAGAAAGTTCCTTTTTCCACGATCCCCAACACGTTGAATGCCATGGGCCAGATTACTATAATTCACTCAGTTAAACTATGATTATTTGAAAAGATTTGTATATTGTAAATAATGCTGCCTAATGCGGTGACGTTCAGACAGCGTGAACATGCAATAATAATAATGCAGTTCAATCGAATGATTTAATATCATATCTTTTCCATTTTCTGTAGTTTTCTCTGTAAAATCATGCGGTATTCAACGTGTTAAATTCTATCCGCTAACAGCGATAACCAGAAAATATGCGAATTATTCCGCGGAACTTTTATAACTTTTTAAAGAATCGGCACGTTCGAATGTCTATAAAACTGCAGCTACCGAGGATGTTTTGTCTGAATTTATTGTCTGATCGACGGGTTTACGGGGCCGAGAGACTATAAACTCTCACCTTATAGACGTTCGGATTCTTCTTCGGGTCGGTTAGCACGTCGAACGCGGTGTACAGTTGATTGAGCATATTCACGATCTTCATAGCGCCGCTGGAGTCGGTGTGCGCAGCGCAGTACGCCCCGAAACCGACGATTCCGGAGAACAACAGCGTCACGCAGTCGTACTTCTTCGCTGGGACCGGTCTGGAATGTCTGAGCTCGTTCGCCACGGAAATTGGCAGCACCGAGTACAACAACCTGTTGGCCGGGCAAATTTTTTCGGTTACGAGGAAGTGCAGGGGACGGACTTCAAAGAAAACTGTACGGTTAAAAATAGCCGAAGGATCGAAGAAAGGGTAGCCTTTCTACCGAAAAGACTTAGAGCAGGTTTTCGTCGTTTCAAGGAAGATGTCTGTACGCAAAGAAAACATCAAATATAAACCGTTCGATTTTTCACCTGAATTTCCGTGTTTCTTACTTATATTACCCATAAAACGGAACAGCAGTTTTGATGCTTTCGCCATAAAACAGTTTTCAATTTTCCTCGGAGAACTTTCGGAGACCGTCGGTGTATTTCTGAAATGGTATCTGGTTATCGGCGAAGATACAGCGCCCGGTATTTACTGTTCGACCCAAACATCGTCGAAACAGGCGACGTTTAAGGACGACACCGTTCCCCCGCGACAGCGGGAAAAAAGTGCGATCCAATTTCCGGCGGGGAAGAGTATCCTGTCAAGAAAGAAATTCCAGGGCGGCGGAGAGCGCGGCCTTCGCCGGCCAGAATTGCGTCAGGATAAACGTCTAACGAGGCCAATGGGGATTTCCTTAATCAGAAAATTACACCGACGGAAATCCTTACCTGTCGGTCTTCTGCTTCTCTCCGTCGAGCTCGTGATACGTCTGCTGCAATTTATCGGTAAGCCATTCCAGGTTCCTCGTTAATTTGTAATCAGCCTCGAATTGCTCCGACATCAGTACGAGATCTCTGGTGGCGTCGTGAAGAGGGATGTCGCTCAGGTAGAGGCCCCGCCTGACGATCCGCGCCGCGAAAACGAACAAAAATGGAGCGATGATTCCGCGTGGATTTAGAAAAACAGGCGGTCGCGCGATCGACGGAAGTCGGATACGGTAGACATTCCATCGGGACGTTTCCAAATTAGTTTTTAATCGCCGACTATCAATTCAGAAGTGGTTAAAGCCTGACGGTCGCAATAATTAACGGCGACTAGATCCTCGTATCCAGTAATTTCTAAAAATAGTCACCACGTTCCTCGGCGTCGTCATCGTGCGTTAATCGTTCGCGTTTGGAGTCGGGCATTAAATCATTCTGATGGGGGAACGAAGGAGACAGAGAGAAGAAAACGGCGGACAGGAGTGACCGTTGCAGCGCAATAAACCAACGCGATAATTTGCGTTTCGCGCGCCCGGCATCCATGGAAGCGCGAAATAAAGCGTCGCTTGTCGGCCGTCGGGGCGGGGAGCGCGAAAGATATCAGTTATGCCGGCGAAAATTTACATTCGACGTGGCAACGTATTTTTCCGACGTCTTGCGAGGTAATTCTGCCACGCGTAACTTTCGCGTTGTCACGGATTATTCGATACACGACTGACATCTCGGCGTTGCCTCGAATGCCGAGGAAAGTTATGACGACCGACGGCCGAGGCGCGGTAAGTGGTTAATTCGATTAAGCTTCAAATTTATTCGCAATCAACTTCAGGGCTCATGCTCGTATAAATCCCCGAAAACTCTAATCTGATTACGACGGTAAGCTGCGGACGCCGCAGCGACGGCCAGCGAGACGCTCCTGTTGCTCGACGCGACCCTCGCGAAATACGTGGCGTATTTAATACTAGTTGACCGTTGACGGTGACGATTCGACAGGTGTTACGATCTCGAGGAATAGTTGAACGAGCATCAAGAATGCAGGAGTTAATCGCCGCGAAATGACGGGAAAATGCACGGAACACGACGTTTACTGCATCCGAAACGCGCCGCGGGGAAATAACGAGGCGTCGCGTCGGCCGGGACCGCGAGGGGGAAAATTCCGTGAAAAACGAGTAGCGCGAAGTTTATTCGAACGAGGCTAATTCGGTGGCGGCGTGACAAGAATTAATGCGCCGCTCGCGGCCGCCGGGCGGAGGCGCGAGAATAACGGTAATTACACGGGCCGTCTGTTTCGGCAGCCATCGAATCGCGAACCCGTTACCCCAGACGACGACAAACATTTTCCGCGCCGGGATGCTAGGACGCCTCGCGATGAATTAATAGACGCGGATGCCTACTTGCCAACCGAGAACCGCGGCTGAATCTATCCGCGATAACGGCCTAGATAAAGCGTCGCCCATAAGTCTGCCGTTACCGCGTGCCGCAGAAGCGGCTCGTGCTGTCGCGTACTCCTTGTCGCTTCGCGCGAGATACTCGCGCGATCTATTATAAGGGAACGCCGCGAGATTCCGGAACGATTTGTTCCTTTCGGAGCGGCTTAACGATTGAGCCCTCGGATTAGGGCTGCGCGGAGACGCCTCTCCGAGAGGTACAGGCCGGGACGCTTCTCTGCGCTAGAACTGGCTGGATGAAAGCTTGTTTCAATTGTGCTGTCGATTATTGGAGGAACAATGCGCGTTTGTGTCTGTTTATGCTGTTGTAATTGGGATATTTGATTTTTGGAAGCTAGATCTAGGAAGGATCAAGATACAAGTCCGAGGCGTTTCTTTGCGCTAGAACTCGCTGAATGAAAGTCTCTCAACTGTGTTATTTTATTATTGAAGGAATAATGCGAATTTGTCTCTACTTATGGTGTTGTAGTTAGAAGAATATTTGATTTTTGGAAGCTAGATCGATTTTTCTCGATTCTTCTCCGTGGAAATGAAAGGAAATGGAATCTTTAAGCATCAAGATACAAATCCGAGGCGTTTCTTTGCGCTAGAACTGGCTAAATGAAAATTTCTCAATTCTGCTGTTTTCTTATTGAAGGAATAACGCGAATTTGTCTCTACTTATACTGTTGCAGTTAGAATATTTATTTTTTGAAAACTAGACCCACGTTCGTCAATTTTTCTTCGTGGAAATGAAAGGAAATGGAATCTTTAAGCATCAAGATACAAATCCGAGGCGTTTCTTTACTCCGAATCTAGTTGGACGAAAGCCTGTTTCAATTACATTCACGATTATTCAAAGGATAAAGCGAATGTACCTCTATACCTATGCTGGTGTAATTACAGGAAGATTATACAGAAGAAACCGGACTTCCTCCGGCAATTTTCTCCATGAAGGAAAATAGGATTCTCAAAGCCAACGTTATCAAGTTCTCGTTGCAAGTCGCGTCGCCTGCCAAAATACTGCGACAATAAAAAGGTTGCTCCATGTGCATAGATCGATCAGGCAGAACGCGGGGTATGATGTTTCGTAACGAGAATTGCGAGTGGCAACGGGGGAAAGATTTACCAGTGGCAATCTGATACAGCATTACCCGCGTTGTATATCGCAGTTAGAAACGGAAGCAATGCATTCGATCATTTATAACTGGAACCAAACGATCGTGTGCAGAACAGCGTTTCGCGTTTTGTAAGTGGAAACCCGTCGCGTTGCATTCTTCGCGGCGACCATTTGTTCGCGCTGATTTACAGTGGCCCGTCGACGGTTTTACAGGCATCAGAACGTTCCACGGGGAACGCAGTGATCGACGCGCGTGTACCGATCCGTGCAATGCGAGCGCTTTATTTACACCGGGTTGAAATTCAATTTAGCGGGTATTCAATAATTACAACGCGATTTAACGTGTCCCGCCGAACCAGCAAATTAATTCGTCCGCCGGACACATTTTTCGAATGCACGCGCGGATTGACACTAGATTTACCGAGCGTTCAATGCGATTGATACGTTATCCTTGTGAAATTGGTAACAGTCGATTTTTATGAGTTTCTTCGGATATTCATCTTAGTGTTCAAATAAAACTATTTTCTAAATCATTTGGGATATTTAATGTTTCTAAGATACCAATAATTGCGAAATGAGAAAATTGAGACCAATCATTTCAACGCGGTAGTTCTAGCGTTGGAATTCGATGGTACGAGTGATGCGATTGATACGTAAACCTTGTGAAAATAATAACAATAGATCTTTCTGAGTTTCTTCAGATACTCATAGTATTCAAATAAAACTATTTAATTTCCAAATCATTTGGGATATTTGACCCTTTGCGGACGAGGATTCTTTGAAATGTACAAAACCTTCAACATATGAAGCGAAATTATATATCAATTGCTTAATTAATAGAAAAAAAGAAAACTACGTGCTGATCTCTTGCTGTTCGACTAATTAGATCATACGTCCACGACTTAGTCTTCCAAATCTGAACATTTCATCTCACTGAAACGCCGACATCCGTCCGTAAAGGGTTAATATTTCTAAGTTACCGATAATTGCGAAATAAGAAAACTGAGACCAATCCTGGCGCAGGTAATTCTAGCGTTATCGTTCGTCTCGATTGATAAAATTCGCCGGCATAATTCGACTGAACCGTAAACACAGTTTAGGACGTAAGATTCAAGGTTGACGGTTCGAATCCTATTACCTGCGATCCTCAATTACTTCGCGAAGATGGCCGGACGCAAATGAAGTGCAATAATCCCGCGTAAAAGCTCACCTGGTTAAATCGTCCAAATTCATCACGCTCGGGTAACACAGGAAAATTACGAAATCCGACTCCGGTATGTACAACATTTGTCCCTGGAAAAGTAACAAGTTGCAACGTGACAAGGACACGCGATGAATCCGTGCACGTTCGTATGAACTGCGCTGCCCGTGTGTGCAGCAAGATTGCTACTAACTTTTAAGCGCAAATACGAGTAGTCCTCGGGCGCGTGCATTTGCATCACTCCCTTCTTCGTCCGCAGCACGTACACGGTGTTTATGTGCGACAATATGTTCTCGAATGTCAGCTCTAGGTGAGGTCTGACCTATGAACACAAAGAAATGCTCCGTTTTATATGTACGCGTGGATACAATTCTTCCCTGTATTCTTTCCTGCGTGTAATTACCATCAAACTCTGAATACTTGAAGTATTTTGCTACATATGTAAGAAAATGTGCAACGTGCGTATTTTAAGGATGTATTTGTGTGCGTGTATGGGTGTCGCGTGCGTGTATGCGTTGTATATTCGAGGAGGGAGACTGTTTTGCGATGCTTGTTTTTGAACGAAGACGAAAAAGAAAGAAAGGAAGGTGCAAGGACAGTTGGTGAGCGCTTGTGTAGAGACGAACTTGACGACGAAATAAATTATTATTGATCAAATAAATCCTTGTAAATAGAGGAAACAATTATTCTATAGTTAACCCTTTGCACTCGAGAAACTCTCAGTCGTTTGATTGAACGCAGCAAAATTATGAAACGAGAAATTCAATATAAAATGTTGAATAAGGTATTAACGTATGAAACAGAAATAAAATGCCCCATAATTATTGCAAGATGTTTCTCTATGGAAGTTGCAAATGTTAATATCTCGTCGGGAAATAACGAATGTAATGAGAAATATTGTCGAGTGCAAAGAATTAATGCTTACGATAAATACATTTGATTTCTCGTTGTTTTACGAACTGCAATTTTTGACTTTCAATATTTGCGACGGTCCACAATATGAATTTCTGTTCATCGCGGGTTTATTCGGCTGCAAAGGGAGCCGAATAATAGAAGGACCCGTCAACGAGACATCGTCGCATAATTGTGGCCGGTGAACTGGGTTACGCTCGCATTACAACTCGCGCACATCCGGGACCTCCTTAAGATCTGGACAGAGTACTATGGGGCGGGAATAACAACGGGAGGATAATTGATTACGTTCGCGGCCGTATGCACCGACGACTATGCAAATGAAGTTAAATGATTTCGCTGCAACGGCGCGTGTCATTTCGTTTGAAGCACACCGCATTTGAAAGATATATGATCAGCGGCGTATGAATCCGCATGAATTATATCCCGCCATTGACCACGGCCCGACCGGACAATAACGTAATTTCGTGGTTAGCGCTAACTAACGCGGCGTTTCGGAAAATAAAACGCGGTTATCGATCCGTCCATCCTTATTACGCTCGCGGAAACGCGCAACGCCGACGACTTTTACGGTAGACCCCTATTATGCCACCTTCGCGGCGAATTTCATCAAACTTCCCTTATTTCCCGATTTATCAATCGGTTCTCATCGGTTCGAGCAACGACCGTCGATTAACTGTACGCTCGTTACGAGACGCGGCGTATTATAGTCGTCGTTATTTCAACTGAGAAGTTTCACTTTTATACATCGTTACGGATACATGGAAATAGAGGACTTCCTTAGAGCCTGACTAATAAGATTCTAAGTACCTCGGGAATTCCACGTGCACGCCGATTCTCGGTATTACGTGTTCCAGCAAAAAAGATCACGCTGTCGTAAACTTACTGTTAGAAGGATGTCGTTCAGCTTGCAATTACCGGATCTCACTTGGGGAATGACACGGGTTATGGTGCATCCTGTCTGAACGATGTCGAGATCTCTGTTGAACATCAGATGGAACGGGAATACTCGGCAGAACGTCATGGGGCTCACTTTCGGTTCTGCGGGAAATTTCGAAACAAAGTTTCCCTTGAGCGCATCCGGCGACTGTAAACTTCGAACTATTAGTACGCGGGGAGTTGTCTTTCGATCTGTCGGCCCGTTACAAATGGAACCGTTCGGGGTCCGCGGGAAGCGGACGTTTCTCGAATCGAGGGCTCGACGTTACTCACCGACGGAGAGAGTCTCTTGTTCGGCCATCATGGGATTCGACACGACACCTGGCCCGGAGGTGTTCGTTATCATGAATTGCACGTGGTCGCACTCGTTGTCCTTCGTCTTCAGTATCTGCATCTCTATGTCCGTGCCGTGAAGTTTTTTCGCCACGGTCTGCGTCAGTGGAAGTTTCCAACTCTTTTAATCGCGGCTACCTTCCGCCCGAGCGGCTCTGTTAGGCTCGGAATTGAATAGACGCAGCCCGGAACGGGCTCACTCGTTGTTTCAAGTGAACAAACAGCGGTTGCTAAGTTGATTGCGAAGTTCTACCGTGGAATTCTAGTTCTACAACTCGAAACGAGAGTTTTTAAAAATTGCAACTGATGTAAGTTATGTGAAGATAACAATGAACTCTCTTTTCTTGAAAAACCAGCGGCCGAACTTTGCAATTAATTTCATACGATTCACGATTGTATGGATACGGAGAGTAAATTCTGTTTATTAATTCGCTGAAACGAAATGAACGCAGATCCTGGGAACGCTTAGATTCTCCGAGGTTCAATATCGTTCAGCTTAATCCGCGCGATTCCCGATAACCATTACGCGTTATGGTGCGCCGAAAATACCTTAACGATGCCAATGACGATATGCTCCAAACCAGGTCGGTCGGAGTAATAATGTAATATGAGCGCCCCGTCTTCTGGCCTCTCGGTGCATCGGAAAGAGGGCGCCCTCATTCCCGGATACAAAGTGCCTAAATGATCGTGAAGGGCGTCCAAATTCTGCAATTAACCACCGGCGGAATCTCATCAGTTTAGTGGCCCATGAAAGATTATGAGAAAATAGATTTTCTAATCGGTGCCCGGCTCGTCGATGGGGTAATTGCACGGCATAATATCTCTCGGTTATTATCAATCCGACGCGCTGTCGGCATCAATTACAGCGAACCGATAGAGAGCAAGAATATACACCGCTGACGGACGTATCTATCTCGCTCCTCGAGCGGGCGATCGAGGGTTGAAAATTGAAACGAGGGTGTTGTTTAATTTTTTGCCGGGAATCGATGCGGGGACAAGAACGAACTGCCTGCGCGTGACACCGGAGCCCGCGGAGAACCGGAAATGAAATCTCGCGTAGGAAAAACGGCACGATGATAATCTCGTTCCGCGACGGCATTCCGTTTGATAATCGCATTGCGGGCATTCGTCGCGATCAGAAGTTTCTTGTTACACACCCGTTGCAGCTCCGTTCGATTCCGTTCGGAGACCGAGCCCAGGATTCTCGGGCGAGCCCGCTCATTCCTCGGTCCCCGCGATGATGGTCGTTAATTTGAATCTAGAAAGTTCCGATGCGAGTTCTTTTCACTCGGCGATTTATGGGTCCCCCGTTTAAAGGAGAGTCCCGCTATTCAAAGAACACGTTCCGCGGCTGATAATGATTCTTCTAATAATACCGCGGGACAACGTGGAGTCCAGTAACGTACGATCGAGATTAAATAGAAACCGTACGTATCACTTTTTAATCGAACCGCGGTTGCGCTCGAGAGACAAATTGAACATCGTTTTCCAGCGCGGAACGCATAGATCTCGTATCGTCCTTAGAGAACGTTCCAATAAATCCGATACATTCGACGATCATTAATTTCACCGGCGGGGGACTGCGATATTCCCCCCGTCGGAATGAAAAAGGTGTAATAATCCATCAATCACGGACAGGGAAATTCTGGCAATAATTCTGCCGGCCGTATCCCCGACCGCGCAAACGAGTTTACGCGCTTTTTGTCCAATTACTCAGCGGCGCGTTGCGGCAACCGCGGGACTGGTCCGGCGTGTTTCCCTCGAACGGGTCTCGCCGCGAGTTTAGAAATGCATCGGCCGCGGAATGCGCAAATGATAATTCCTCGGCGCACGCACAGGTGCACGTGTGCCTCCCCGAGGTTGCACTCGGAGCTCTCGGGCCCCGGGCGAGACCGGCGCTCGACGCGAACGAGAGAAGAAAGGAGAAGGAATCCGCCGGAACGTGATTCCGCCGGGAGCACCGGTCAATCGCGAACGATCTGCCCACGTGTCATCCTTTCTGGCGACTTTCACTTCGACCGCGTGGAAACGGAATCGAAGGAATCCCGGGAGTCGGTCACCGGGCGCTCGTAGCCCGCGGAAATCTTATTTCGACCGGCACGAGAGTGAATAGCCCGGGCGAGCGTGTCGATTCACCTGCAAGAAGTCCCTAGGCGTTGCTCCCAGCACCTGGAGGATCTTGTCGTAGCCGGAGTCCTGGCAGAACTCGAAGAACATTCGGCCGAACAGCTCGAGGATCTCGTGCGCCGGGATATCTGGACCATCAAACTTCTCGTTATTCCGTGGACCTAGGGTCTTGCGATTCGAATGGCTACGGGGAGGACACTTAAACTGATTGCTTCGGTCCTCGAGAAAGTTTCGACCGCCGGCGTTCGAGTTAATTTTTCTTATAGTGGATGTAATTTAATTTAATATCCTTTGTTTGCGCGTGTCACGGTCGACGTTTAGGGGATGTCTTAATAGAATCGAGCGATCTCTATGCGTGGGCTGTGTTTTTTGCAGGTATTACGGGCAATTAGAGATCAAGTGTTCCGGGGGAGCGGAATTGGAAAGGAAGGGAAGGTAGAATGGTAAATGGTAGGAAAGAATTCAACGGTTAAAGGATGCAAATCAAGGGATTGAAAAAGAGAAGGGTCGGCATAAGGAGAATCGCGTTTCGAACTGCAGCTGCTACGGCGAACTCGCTGGGCGGAATGTTTCCGCGGCAAGGTCACCTGTTTCGCGAATAAAAACCGTGAAAAGGATAAAAAGGGGTTGGCAAAACGACGAGGAAGAAAGGGAATCGCATTTGGTCCTGACTTCGGTAGCCTACTCCGCGAGGATTCCTGGCTTAGACCGTAGAGGAGTTCAGCGTTAGGGCGGAGGATTTGCAAAATGGCGTCCCTCCTCCGCTGAGGTCACCACTTCGACCGATAAAAAGAGCTGAACGAAGAATGAAAGGAGTAAAAGGAAGAATGGAGAAACAGGGAATCGCGTTTGGGTCTTGGTCAGCTACAGGGATGGACAGAATCAATTGGTCTCTGAGAGTCGATTCTTCGACTGTGAACCTTGTAAGACGAGATTGCTACTTTTGCATCCCTTTTACCTTTTTATTTGACGAACGGGAAACGGATGTCCGCGAATCTTGCTATTTTCTTTTGCGAAATGGATCGAGAAATGGAACGAACGAAAAATTAACGGAGAGACGGTTCTCCGGCGGAGGAAATAGAGTTAACGATTTCGAACAAGAGATTAAAGCTATCGTAAGTGGCTGCATTAGACTGTAATAAAAATTCACTTGTAAAAAGAGGCGCTTAGACTCGGCGAGCAGTTTAGAGTGAATGAAAAATGTGTACGTACTGAGCCGCTGGACAGCCGCCGATATGATGTTGTACGTGATCTCGTCTTCGTAGATCTGGCGCACCAGAAACTGGCCCTCCATGTTAACCGATGCATCTTTCCTGGATTAACAAACTCTGAATAAACGTTACGTTCAAACTGTAGCAATCGCGTGGAATGCACACGCCACATGTGCACGGGTTCATTTGCAATTCTAGCAGCCGGATAATTCGAAAAGCTTATTAGAAAGACATTACAGAAAGTTGCGCTACTTTCCTAGTGCATAATTAGCGATACGCGCGCACCGAAGGGATTGCATCAGATTGGAAACGGTATAAATTACAATAGAAATTCTACTGAAACATGGCTTTGAAAGCGGCGACACGTAATGTTTGACCATGGTCCTTGTTAAAAGGAAATATAATTACGCGGCTCGATAAAGCTTAACATAATTAACTTCGACTTAATTATTTTTGCTTATAACGAGCGCCGTATCTGATAGAAGGAAATTCAGAGAATTTATGGACTGATAAACGGTGAATTCATTAAACTTTCTAAAGCCGTCTTATGTGTATCGTGGTGATAGCAGCGGCATGAATTTCGAACTTTCTATTTACTAGGTGAAAAAAAAGAACGCGACAGAAGCGGCAAACGTGATTGCACAATTAGCGAAAGGATTGTTAATACTAGGCGAGCGTTCCGATTCAAAGGATAGCGTCACACAGAATTAATTAATCGGCTTTACGCGACGAGTAAAGTAAATATTTTCTGTTGAGCAAAAGCCGGATATTTTAGCGGGTAGCCAGCCCCTCCAGGCGATTTCTATTAGGTTTGCAAAGTACGGATAAAAGGCCAGTGCACTGTTTGACATGGATATGAGCTGTCGCTCAGTTCACTGTTCCCTTTGCAATTTTTCGAGAATCCTTACAATGGACGTTCAACGTGATCGCTCCTCGGAATTAGCATTCGCATCCGCCGAATCGATGCAACATTCTCACAGCAACCATCATCGATACTTTCGCACTCGCGAAATTAAACCGGACAATTTAGAAAAATAATTATTCGAATCAAGACATATTCGTTGCACTTCTCTTCGTTTAACTGTGGAATTTAATTGGGAAAACCTCTGGTTCGTCACTAAAATCGAAAAATGGAGCGTGTACTCGATCGCAGGACGAATGCACATATATTTCAATGAAAGATCGAAGCGAAACAAAGAAAGAATTATATGTTTATCTGAAAAAAATAAAGAATTCATCGCTGAAGGAATTGGTATCATGCCAAGCTTTACGATGACGTGTATACTCGTCGAGCACAGTTAACCGGTTAAAATATCAACGGCTATATCGAGCACAGGACACAATTCTTCATTCCGATGAAAATGTCACAAAGCACGCGTCGAAAGCGCCGCGATGAATACCATGCATACCGAAACGAACGAGTGCGACGTCTAAAATTACATCACGCAATTTGTAAACACGAGGCAGAGGAGCTCGCTGTGAAACGTCATTTAGGGCGGCTAAAGTGACCCTTTTTACGCGAGCTTTTAAGAGTCATCGTGCAATCTTACTCCCCGGGTAACCCACATCGCGGTTCCATCCCGGCGTCTTTCACACAAACGCATCTCGCAATTCCGTGAAACGTTGTTACTCCGCAGACGAGTCACTTTATTCAGAGGAAACATACTTTCCTCCATAACATGCAATTCTGTTGGACGCTGAGGAAATACGAAGCACAAAGGTATCTTTTCCAATTGTCGCGCACTTTTCTTGCTGCAGATCGCGCAATAAATGTAAGAGCCTTATAAATCAGGACACAAAGGGCTCGCGCAACATCCAATCAATACATGTTCCTAATAAATCAACGATAAAGACGGTTAAAACACAAGAACGAAATCACGAAATTGAGTTTCCTCTATAGTATTCGCGGAATGCGTCCACCGATAGCGTCCGTCGCTTTCAACACGCCGTCCGCGAAGAAAACTACCCTTTCAAGGCACGCGCTCCCCGATAATTTCTTGTTTTACAGCGGGCGGGTAAGTTTACGGTGCATAAACTCGCGTTGCGTGTCGGTTGTCCCGGCGAACCTCGTTTACCTCTCGTGTCCTCCGCGTTTTCGGAGTTCCGCGGAGCGGAATCTTACGGGGCGGAGAACTCGAAAGCTCCATTGACGGGCGCGGGAAACTGCAACGGAGTTTTTCACGCAGAAACGAGCCGGTTCTCGGCTGCCGTTGTGCTCGCGTAAAAAGTTTCGCCTCTCCGCGGAGATTATTCTTTTCGCGTTCCGACGGAGGGGCCTCGAGAAGTTCCAACGGCGGCATTGTTCGGCCGGCCCGACGGAAACCGTCGCGATCTCGCGAATAAACGGAACCCGTAACGCGATTCTCGGCGGGAACGGCGCTCGCGGGGAAGTCGGTTTGACTTGTAAACAACGAAACATTTATGCGCGCCGGGATTTAAGGGCCAGAACGAATAGGTGGACCGTTCGACCCGTGCGCAAACAAACGGAGCGCGTGCCAATGTTTCGACATCGTGTTGCTGAATCAATAGGCTCCGGGGATCAGGTAAACAGAAGTTTATTACGCGAACTTGTTGATCCGTCGGGGGAGAAAAAGGACTGTCGTCGGATTTCGATTTCTTCGTGGCCTACTTTCACTGTTTTGCCTCGCGTTGTGAAAAACGGGGAACCTCTGGAAGCTCCGGATGATTTCGTTCTCGAACGACGTCGGCTCGAATGGCATAAAGCGAGAGTTGAGTTTTAATGATGGCTCGTGATTATAGATGTTGTTACTTTGAATAAATTTGAATAGAGGGAATATAAATGTTAGATCGTAAGAATAATTACGTTTATTCGAATGTACGCGCGACTCCGCGTCGTAAAGAAGTTACAGAGACCGAGAGAGGCATTAATAAAGCGACGAGGAAAGTTTCGGAATGACTTTTCCAGCGGAGAATGGCGCAGTAAAAAATATGCTAATCGCCGATGCAACGGGAGGTTTTGCTTTGTTACGAAGTCATGAATGCAACGGAGATGCGAATAAAAG